GAACTCGATGTGTTTTTGGTAAGTATTTTAAAGAAATTACATCTGCTACTTACATTGAGTGTGCAAGTACTAATTACAATGATTTTAAGGTCAGTCACAGTTTCTAGAGGCTAAAAGCTAAAATCCAGTTGTCAGCAGCATTGTTTCTTCTAAGGGCTGTGAGAGAGAATCTGTTCCAAGCCTCTCTCCTGGCTTCCGGTGGCTTGGTGTGCCTTAGCTTATAGAAGCATTACCCTGAACTCAGCCTTCATCTTCACTTGGCATTCTCCCTGGGCGTACTAGCATGTGGCTGTGTCCAAATTTCCCCTTTTCTAAGGACAACAGTCATTCTTGGATTAGGACCTGCTCTAATGATCTTATCTTAACTATCTTAAATAACATCTATAACGACCCAAATTTCAAATAAGGTCACATTCTGAGTTCCTGGGGGTTAGGATTTCAATGTATGAATTTTGGGGGAGCATAATTCAACCCTAACACCAGGATTACTGCCACTAGTGAAACTTTCTGGATTTCCCAAATATCCCTAAATTTCGTAAGTGTCTTTTATACCAAGGAGCCAATTTTATAAAATATTATCATTACTAACATCTCCAGTTAAAGATAAATATCTTAATTCAATAAGCAAACAATTGAGATTCGACATGAATTTTTAAAATTATTAATCTAGAGTAACCAACCACGTCGTAGGCATTAGTAGGCGATAAATCTTTGTACGTGCCATGGCACCGTGGGAAGGACTGTGGGCTGGAGGTCAGGAAATTCAAAGCTAAGTCCCAGCTCTGACATTCACCATGGAAACATCTGGATGGCCCCTGCCCTTGTGCAGGAGTTGATATGATCTCTCTATTCCCGAGGATTCCTTCATTCCATTCTATTTTGTTATACTCCATTTTGTACTATTTTTTCTATCCACACACAAATATATGAGCAATGGAGAAATGAATGACACAAATAGATAAGCATATTTATAATACCTGCTCATAGACTCAGAGATTTTTAGAAATAGAAAATTTTGATTTACTGCCCTTATTTAATACACACAAAAATGGAAGCCTAGGGAAGCAAAATGCCTAGTCCTAAAACACATACATCATTCTTTGCTTGGATAACTTTAAATATGGAAAGAGTCCTAAAATTAAATTCACACACCTAGGGGCTGCCATGGATGAACTTTAGGGGTCTATGTACCTTCTGAGAGTTTTGTGTAAAAACTGGTATGAATATACATGTACACATTCTATTTCTTCTGTTGGAAGGAGACTCTAGTGTTCACCATAAATCCTCAGCTCCTATGCCTAAATGTCTGGCATATAAGAAATACTCAGTAAATAATTCCTGATTTATGTATACTGAATTCTTAACCATAGAAAGTTAATAACCACTGAAATAGAATAAGATAGAATACAGTCATCCTCTGGGAAATAATGCTCTTCCTGTCTGAAGTTTTCTATCATCCTGTAGTTGCAAGTCCTGGCTGAATTATACAATGTTGGATGTGCCTCTTAAACCAATTAAGAATGATGTTTAAATCACAATTTCATCTCCTTTAGGAAATCATCCATTTTTTATTTAACTTTACCATTCTGTTTAATTAACAAGGGTTTAATGATAGTTAATAAATGATATGTTAATTAATTTAGGAAATTACATTGTGCTTATTAAAGTAATTTAAATTTTTTAAAGCTTGTGATTTTCCTTAATTCCATCAAATAAGATATACCACATTCAATTAAAATTGAGTTACCTTATTTTATTCTCCTATTAGTCCAAGAACCAGGGAAAATCTCTAGTGTATCCAGGACACGTACTGGAATAATTACCAAGACTGTGACTTTCAAAAAGGCAGGGGAATGCCTTGGGCCCAAGAGAGGTGGTATCATAAGCAGAGAGTAGCAGCACCATAGAAATAGGTGATCAAGAAGTATTTGATGAATCAGTGAAAGAAAAAAGCAATAGCTAGTGATGGTAGGAGGGCAGAAAACCCTCTTTGAGCAGGGAGCCATCAATATTAGAACAGTCGATAGGACATCCATCAGTGCCGGGTGATGGGACTAATGGTTAGATCCTCCTCTGAAAGAGAATGTGCTTTTTGTGGGACATTAAGGAATGGCACCAACCTGATGATTATCAACATAGATATCAAATACAATTGTCTGTCTCTAGTTATCAAGCATTTCTTTTTGCTAATCCATTACTAAGGACTTGCAAATGGGGCCTCAAGACAAAAGAGGTATGATACTCTGCATGAAGCAGGCCAGGCCATTTGTACCATAGATGTGTATAATCATGAATTACATTTTTAAAAAACCCACAAATGTTATTTACAAATCATTTGTACTCTTCAGAAGCATTTACAAATAATTTACTTTGCCAATGGAGATTAAAAGCTCCCTTCTTCATAAGGTTGGGTCTTACTCATACTTGTGCCCCAATTCCAGAAAAGAGTAGCTACTTAACAAATAACAGTGAATGTATACTTATAAATTAAGTATAGTCAAGAGCATTATTAAGCACTAGAGACCTGGTGCACGAAATTCATGTATGGGTAGGATCCCTAGGCCTGGCTGGCAATCAGGGCCGATCAGGGCATTCTGGCTTCCGGACCGGGCCTCCCTCAATTCTGCTCCGTCCCCTGGTGGTCAGTGCATGTCACAGCAAGCAATCAAATTCCTGGTCTCCTGGTCAAACTCGCGAGGGGACAATTTGCATATTAGGCTTTTATATATAGACTAGAAGCCCAGTGCACAAATTTTTGTGCACTGGGGGGGTCTGGGAGGTCCCTCAGCCCAGCCTGTGCCCTCTCACAGTCTGGGACCCCTCGGGGGTTGACCATCTGCTGGCTGAGGCCTGCTCCTGCCGGAAGCCGGTCCATCCTTGCTGCTTGACACAGTCGCTGCAGGATAGAAACATCTGCACAGCATATGTTTCAAGGGACCTGGTGTATATAGCATACTGTTCTTAATATGTTTGCTCCCCTTAGTGCTGTGTGTTTTAACCAAGGTCACCTCTCTGAGAAAGGTTGTTTCCCCAGGTAGGAATTTTTCCCTGAAGTCAGGGAGGGGATGCCTCTCCTAGAAAGGTTGTTTCCCCAGGTAGGAATTTTTCCCTGAAGTCAGGGAGGGGATGAAACTCCTTAACTAAGTGCCAGGCGGGTAGTTAATCACTACAAACAATCATGCTTAAGCTACATAATCTTTACTCCCTGGAATGGAGATAAGAAACGCCCTAACCTTTGTAATAGAAATTGACAGGATTAAAATCAACTGGTATAAATACGGATGTAACAAAACAATAAACAGCAGAACCTCTCTGGAGATCCAGAGCAGAACTTCGCTGGAGATCCAGACCAGAACTTGGCTGGAGATCCTGGCTAGAGATCCTGGCTAGGCTGCTGATCAACTGAACGCTGTCTCCGTGTCATTCCTTCTTCGCCGACTCCGTCTACACCTTTGGGGACCCCTGGACCCGCTGGGGTTGGACCCCGGCATGCTCCCCAGGGGATTGGACCTAAGCTGACAATAAGACATCCCTCTGGCAGCCCAGCAGCCATCGGGGAATGTCCACTTGCCAGCGGGGAGCAGGCCTAAGCTGCAGTTGGACATCCTTAGCGCTGCTGAGGAGGCAGGAGAGGCTCCCACCACCACCGCTGTACTGGCAGCTATCAGCCTGATTTGTGGCTGAGCAGAGCTCCTCCATGTGGGAGCTCACTGACCACCAGGGGGCAGCTCCTGCATTGAGCATCTGCCCCCTGGTGGTCAGTGTGTGTCACAGTGACCAGTCATTCCCTGTCTTTCTGCTGTTAGGGTCAGTTTGCATATTACCCTTTTACTATATAAGATAGAGGCCTGGTGCACAGATGGGGGCCGGCTGGTTTGCCCTGAATGGTGTCCCAGATCAGGGTGGGGGTCCCGCTTGGGTGCCTGGCCATCCTGGATGAGGGGCTGATGGCTGTTTTCAGGATGCCCGCACCCCTTCAGGGTGGGGGTGCCCACTGGGGTGCCTGGCCAGCCTGGATGAGGGGCTGAGGGCTGTTTTCAGGCGGGCCAAGCCTGCAACTGAAGCTCCCAGTCTCTCCCTTTTTTTTATTTTGTATTCTGGGATTTATTTAGCTTCTGTAATTGAAACTTTGTTGCGGCTCCAGCTCAGAGGCCAGCTGGCTGAAAGCAGGAATCTGGGGTTTGTTTAGCTTCTATAATTGCAACATTGTTGCTTAAGTGCAGCTCAGAGCCCAGCGTGGCAGGCGGGGAACCTTGGCTTCCTCCATCACTGGGGCAACCAAGCCTCATGTTCGCTTCAGCTGCCTGGCTGCCGGCTGCCATCTTGGTTGGCAGTTAATTTGCATATCACCCTGATTAGCCAATAGGAAGCATAGCGGAGGTATGGTTAATTACCATGTTTGTCTATTATTAGATAGGATAGAAAATCAAAGAAGATCCAAAAACAAAAAAAAGAAGATCCCACAAAATCTTGCTATTTGTCTTGTATAGTTTGCTAGCCTAGTCTATATCACAGAGAAAGAATGAATTTCTGTCCTAAAAACTTCCTGAAAGGGTAAGTGATCAGTTTGACATCTTTAAGACTTAAAGAAATGAACACAGGATTTTCGGGTGCTCCCTTGGTTAGTGCCAAATCAACAGGGATCCTCCTATGTCAGTGATGGCGAACCTATGACACATGTGTCAGAGGTGACACACGAACTCATTTTTTGGTTGATTTTTCTTTGTTAAATGGCATTTAAATATATAAAATAAATATCAAAAATGTAAGTCTTTGTTTTACTATGGTTGCAAATATCAAAAAATTTCTATATGTGACACGGTACCAAAGTTAAGTTAGGGTTTTTCAAAATGCTGACACGCCGAGCTCAAAAGGTTCGCCATCACTGTCCTATGTCTTTACTCTGCAACCCCTAGAACAAAAATCTCTGATATTTAGAGAGAAAAGAACCTTAGATTTAGGTCTTCAATGACAAGTCAAATTGAAAGCATTTACCTTACCTGAAGTGGAGGTTTCTTGGTGCCTAGTGTTTTTTTCCTAGCAGCTGAGAATGAAGTCTTGGGAGAAACTGTGGATGCTTAAACAAGAACAGATATTTTGTTGTTGTAGATTCTAATTTAACTTATTCACATTATGATCCATTCATTAGGAGTAATACTAGGCACTTCTTAAAAATGGTGTTGTAGAAGAATATTTAATGAAAAAGGAGATACTCGTTTTAATTTTTCCTCTTTTTATTTTTATTTTTTAAAAATATATCTTATTGGTTTTTTACAGAGAGGAAGGGAGAGGGATAGTTAGAAACATCGATGAGAGAGAAACATTGATCAGCTGCCTCCTGCACACCCCCTACTGGGGATGTGCCCGCAACCAAGGTACATGCCCTTGACCAGAATCGAACCTGGGACCCTTCGGTCCGCAGGCCGACGCTCTATCCACTGAGCCAAACCGGTCAGGGCATCCTCCTTTTAATGGTATACTGAAAAGTATTTCATGTAATTAACAAAAATAAATATAATGTGGCAGGTATGGACTCAAATTAGTAGATTACAACTCAGAAATAAATTCTAATGTTTATACAACATTATTAGACAGACATATTCTTACTTTCTAAACTTCTTCCAGTTACAGCAGGAGTTCCTTTTGGCGGAAGAAGAGTGTGGACATTTTTCTGGGTGGAGGAACCTGTCTTCATTACACAGGAACGTACAGATACTTCCTCATAGTTCATCTGAGCAATTATCCGACAATGACCCTAAAAAAAAGACGGCGAATAACTGAGTGAGAAAGAAACCTGGAGTTCTTAAATGCATCATCTTCTATATTGGCATATAGAAATGATTAACTTACAACTTCACAAAGGAGTTGGTACTACTGAACCATCTAATGTCACTTGGCAATCTGTGGTTGGTTCAACTAGCCCCCTAGCTCCATAGCTGATCACAAATACCAAAGTCATCTAGAGGACTTAATCATTGGTTGTAGCTCCTTGCCAGAATTTTAACTGAAAAAGCCAATGCTTCATTGTGTACTTACAGATATGATGAATACAAGAAAGTGGGAGTTTAAGTTGTCAGAGATAATGGTTGTTCCAGCCCTGAAAGAAAAGGGGGAGGGATGGAATTCAGAGACGACAGGGAATATTTATTCAACAAAAATACTCATTGAGACTATGATGTGCTAGGCTGAAGATAAAGTGAGCAAAACAGAGGCAGTCCCTCGGTGTATGGAGTTTTATGTGTTTTTCCAGTTAGAGCAATTCTTGAGCATTGATGTGCCAACCTTGCAGATTTGAGGTGGAAGACAACCCACAGCGCCTGGTCGGAAAAAGCAACAATCGGTTCTGTTTGTTCTCTCCTTGGAGACCTTGAGGAAATGCACCATAAACAAGAGTGGGAGGAGGTAGCATTTAAGTACATGTGCAATGATGTAGGCAGAATGATTTGAGGTGAGGTTATTAAGTAGGTGAAGCCTGATTTCGGTGTTCTGCCTCTGTCTATATGTAGAATTTCCTCTCAGTGGGTGTCTCTGAGGCTCCCTGCCATCTTCCTAGGGTCTTCCTCTTAATATTCACCATGGATGGCCTCAGAGATTTTCAAGGCCAATAACTAATTTCTACTAATGTGATAAACTAATTTCTAATAACTGATTTAGAGTCATTCTTTTAAATAAAAGATATAAATGTTAACTTCAGCCTTGTAGAGACACCTGGAATAGCAACAATGCTTTATATTCTCATGTGCTGTTAATTTACTTATAAACCTCAGTGCCAGTTACTGTGTGTTAAGTAGTAAGGGACTATGAAGATGAAAAAGACGTTAACCCTGCCGATAAGTGGCCTTATCACCTCCTACAGGTTGGGGGTGGGGATGAACAAACACTTTAATCAGTGAACAGTGGGGGCAGCATGGGCATGAGTGCCAAGACAGGGCTGAGCGCTCACCCATGCCAGCTGCCATGTATGCACGTTGAGGTTCTGAGATGCAGCCTGCTTATGGTGATGGGTTTTTGCAGCTAAATCTGCAATCAAGATCCCTGAATGAACCCCGGCCTAGATCTTCCCAGGCAGGAGAGGCGAGGGCGACCCCAACAGAAACAGGAGCAGGGACAGTTAGTGAGACCCTCAAGGGAAAGACGAATTTCTAGAAAGAGGCAGGGATCTGAGGCCCAGCCACTCCCACCCACATGAAAAACCTCTCTTCTTTCATTACCTTGGAGGATTTAGGTTAGATTTTCCAAGGAACTGGCAGATTTCCTAAATGTACACAGAGCTTTTCAGAGATCAGAGGGAGGCTGATAAAAGGTCACTGTCTCATCCTATCAGGCGGAAAGACTTTTGAATGAGTTTGACCTTTCTGGTTTAACCCAGTAATGATGAACTCTGGTAAATCCAGGTCAGGCTGGAGGAAGGCCGTGCCTTAGCAGAGCGGCAGGCGACACTGTGAACAACCAGTCCCTTTAATCACTTCTCAAATCACACCCAGCATTAGACTCTTACACCAAGAAGACACGTCACAGAACTGATTCACAGGAGCCATTGCATCCTCAAGTCTTCTGGATCCTTCCCTGCTCATGTTTTCACTTCTGTGACATTAGATCAGGTTTTTCCCATTCTCTGGGTTATCACTACAATCTCCTTTGTCTCCAGTAAGTTTGATGGCAATGCATCCTCTCTCAGCAAGGTCACAAGAATAATCCTTAAACACAATCGCACTGTGTCGTTTCTGTAGGCGGAGGTGGTTTTCTCCGAATGCCCTTGAGGCTGTCTAAAGCATTGAAGGCTTTCACCTACCACCCTCTCCTAAATTACTTCTTCATCCTTCTACAGCACACACTCTAACGGAGAGCCACACACAGTCAGAGCTTGCTGTGACACCATCTGGGCTATTTCCATTTCTGGACCCTCCATCAATCTATGTCACTCAAAAGCTGGATTTAACTTTATTTTTTTTCCAGTAAACCTCCAATCGCTGACCTTAACTATTCACATCTCAAATCCGACACTTCTATAACTAACTGGTATTAATATTGATTTGCCTGTTAATTTGCTTATTTTGATTTACCCTCCTCTAAATGGTACTTTGTTGTTTCATGTGTTACAGTCTAACTTTCTAAGGAGTTTTCAAGCTCCTTAAAATCAGAAACCACAACCTCCAGTCTTTTTTTCCTACTTTCTTCCTCCCATCTCCCCAATCTCCAAAACAGTACATTTTAAGCTATAGGGACTTCTATCAATTAGCAGATGCATGAAATCAGTTTCATAAGTCTCCTCCCAATATATTTAAGTGAAATAGAATAGAACTAAGAGAACCAAAAACATCAGAGTGCCTCACCTATGGTGAGGACAAGGATCTTTCTAAAACTCTCACACAATGAGAGAGCTGTGAGTGAGAGTGTGTTAGACTATGATTTAAAATATATTTCTTACTGAGTTGTGCTCAGAAAACCTTGAGAAACATGGCCAGGAATCTACTAAGTATTGGTCCTACACAAGAAAGTTGTCTTTGCACATTTATTTGGATCGATCCCCCAGCAGTTGCTCTTGGGTTCCGGACTCATTTCCCTTTGGCTTTTAATGTCACCCTGTTGGCTCCAAGCAACATCTAATGACTCCCAGATTAGACCCTGCCTGCCCCTTGGATCGCAGTCTGACCTCTGCATGACCCTATCCACACTGACCCTGCATGCCCAATGCCCACATTGTATCAGATGCACCTTGCCCCTCCCACCAAAAAAGCCCAGAAATAATGGCAAATGTGTACACCTGGTTATTTTGGGAGCATCTAATATCCTCTTTCTAGATTACAGTAACTGGCTTTATTATGTAATGAAAAAAAAGAGACTCAGGAACATTAACATTTCTTGGAGCTACCTGGGAGTAAAATTCTAATTCGTGAAGAAGCCCTGAGACCCATGATCTTAAATGAGCAATTTAGTTGAATTTTAAAAATAGAGCAGCAAAAATTTAGCATTTTGAAGAACTAAGTCCTGTGGGGGGGAAAAAATTCTAATTACTAGTTATTACCTGATGCGATAGTTTTTATAATAAAATACTATTTAAAAGGTCAATTACTATGAAAATTCTATTTCAGTTATAGTTTTTCTTATTCTTGCTTTATACATAAAGATATAAATCAAAATTAGAGCCAATATTCTTATAATTTCAAAAAAGATCCTAATGCAAGTAGGTTGCTTCAAAAATAGCTTAGAAGGGATTTTCCTCTACGATCATTTTGGTTAAAATATAGAAATTAGGTAGAGAGTTGAGGGAAATCAGTAGCCTTTTACATTGCCATGGTAATAATCTATACTTTTACATGTTGGCACAGTCATAACATTCCATCTGCACTTTGCCCTGGAGCCATAAATGATTGTGTTGGTGCCATCAGTTGTTCTTACAACATTTAGAAAATGAAGATCACTTGCTTATCTTATTTGCTGTCATTTAGCCAATGGAGAGAAAACAACGTATAAACAAGGCTTCTTCTTCAGAGGCAGCCATAACTTGATAGAAAACTGCCAGGGGTTCGTTTTACTAGATAGTATATATTCAGTGCACACCAGGGGAATGGAAATTCCCTGGGAAAACTGAAGGATAGCCTGTCTCCCCGCATAATTATATGAAAGGCCTTAGAGTTTGAGCATGGAAGCCCTTAACCCTTGAAGAGGCTCAAGGAAGACCTACCAAGCTATCTATGGAGCTAGAAAGTCCTTTAGTACTAGCACGATGGATAATACACTGTTGCCTATTTTCTGTCAACCAACAATAGCAATAAGATTAAGAAAATGGATACGTGGGGGCAAAATTATTACTATCAAATCTCTAGTGCTGACTTGAAGCTGGTCTCTGAATGCTTCCTCGGTTTGAACTGGTCTATAAGCCATAGGTGTGTCCCAACCCCGTTCTGCATTCCAGGAGAGCAGGGACAGCCTAGCGTGTGTAGAACATGGCAAGTACCCAAGAAATGTTTGTGGCAGTTGGCTTCATCTTATAGTGCTTACTTATTTCCTGTTCATTTCCACCTTCTCATTTATTTTATATTTTCTTCTATTCCCTTTGTGGAAGAGGAAGAGTTATAAATAAATTCTACATAAAGGTAAGTTAAATATTGCTGAAGAGTGAAAGGAAGGAGAAGTCACATTTAGAGAGAGGAGCCAGGTGAGGCTTCATGAAAGAGGTGATTTCGATATGATTATAAGCAATAGGTAGAAGTGTAGCTGGCAGAGAGGACTCTTAAAGAGGAAGAGAGTCAAGTCTTATAATTCATTTAATAAATCTTAGTCAAATGTTGATTTCCTGATTCTAAAAGAGAAGCTTAGGATACAAAATGCAACAACATAACCTGTAGTAACGGCGTACAGAACAGTGGACCAGAAAGTCTATCTTTTCTTTTGGCCATGAGAAGAATAATGGGAGGCTCCTGTTGAGAGAGAAAAACAAATTGATCAAAATTTAGAAGGATACTCCAAGCTAGTATTTTAACTTTTAAAAGCAGCTGTAATTTCTGTTTTTCATTCTATGATTGTCTTAGTCCATTCAGGCTGCTATAACAGAATATCACAGACTGGGTGGCTTATAAACAACAGAAATTTATTTCTCAAAGCTCTGAAGGCTGGAGAAGCCCAAGGTCAAGGTGCCAGTAGATTGGTGTCTGGGGAGAGCCCACTTCCTGGATCACAGAGGCTGTGTTTTTACTGCCCTCACGTGGTAGAAGGGAGGACTCTGATCTCTTCAGCCCCTTATGAGGGCACCAACCCATCGTGAGGGCTCCACCCTCATGACCTAACCCAGTGATGGCGAACCTTTTGAGCTCGGCGTGTCAGCATTTTGAAAAACCCTAACTTAACTCTGGTGCTGTGTCACATATAGAAATTTTTTGATATTTGCAACCATAGTAAAACAAAGACTTACATTTTTGATATTTATTTTATATATTTAAATGCCATTTAACAAAGAAAAATCAACCAAAAACATGAGTTTGCGTGTCACCTCTGACACGCATGTCATAGGTTCGCCATCACTGCCCTAACCACCTCCCGAGGGGTTCTCAACACCATCACATTGGGGATTAGGTTTCAACATACGAATTTTGGCGGGACACAAAGCATTCAGTCTATAGGAATGATCAAATTCAAAATGCATTACTTCCCTGTCTGACAGTCCCTACTTTTGGCTAACCCCTCCCCCCAATTAATTTCCTCTACTTCCAACTGCAGCCAGCTTCAATCCTGTCCTTCTTTCTTGTGTTATTGTCAGGGTCACCCTAACCATGTCACCTTTAACCCAGAAGGACCTCCTTGACCTATGATTCTGTCATGCCTTACGGAGAACTTTCCCTACCTCAGAGTTCCTACCCCCGCATCCCGATTCCCTCAGATCAGTTTCCTTGGACAGTATTGCAGGCCCATATCGGAATGGAATTTTCCACTCTCCATGGACATGGTGATTTTCATCTCTGAGCCTTGCCTGAGAGGGTACCAGCTCTTTATACCCACTAGTTTCTTCTGGCCCTTGCTGGTAATTTCCTCTTTGCTGTATAGCCTATGATGTTAGCAGCCTATTTATGATATTTCTTGCACTTTAAAATAATATATAAATATGTTTACCACACTGCCATGCATATGCAAATATTCCCAAATAATTTTTCCCGGTTGTCGAATGTATACAAGCTTTGTCTCTCCAATTTAACAATAAGCCCAGTAATCATAATACTATCTGATTTAACATCTTTATTTATGCAAGCCATTTTATATATAAAATATATTTTATACATATAATACAATATATTTTTAATTTACTTTATATTTATCATCTCCCTGAGAATAGAGCCTATACCCTCAACTTCCTTTCTTACACCTACTTATCCTTTACAGCACTACAAAGCACAGACACACAGTAAGTGATCAATAATTGATTACAATATTAATAAAATAAATGAAGGGTTTAAGGCATACCACAACTGTGTAATAGTGAGATCTCATAATCAACCTCAAAGACTAAAATGCTTAGAAGTCACCTGTCAGAGGAGTGTAATATATATACCTTGAAATGCCACGGAAGAAGAAAGTTCTGCATTTTTAGCTCCTTGGATCATCTTAGATATCGAAGAGATCTATACATCAATCTACTTGACAAGTGGAAAGTAAAACAGAACAAACAAAAACACCACAGAACGCAAATTTCCCTGCCTGCCTGGAAATAATGAATGTGAAGGTTGGTGGAAATAATAAAGGCGGGAGGAAGTCTAGAAAGTGGTGCTTTCCATGTTTATGCTGGGATAGATCCTGTGTGGACGTGACTGGTTGATTCAGGGTCAGTAAAGCTAATAAATACAGGGAGAAGTTCGCTCCTCTGCCCAGGAGCTCTGCTTCTAGAGACTCCTCAGAGAAATCATGATGGTTTTCTCTGAAAATGCTTCCTTTTGAACCAACTGCATTTTGAAAAATAGAAAGCTCTAGCAGAAAAAGGACGGGATGGATGTGAGTTACCACGGGAACGGTCACTCACTAAGCATCAGTACTTCCCAGGCTCTACGTGCAGGGCTTCATGCCGGCTCTCTCAGTTAGTCAGACAGCACCTTACACACGGAAGCTCCAGGAAGGGAAGTAACGTGCTCCTGGCCACCCCCAGCGGCAGAGCCAGGCTCCCAGCCAAGGTCAGTCTGACTCCAGAGACAACGTTCTTTTCCCAGCATCAAATTGCCAATTCAACTCAACAAAAAGCTATTGAGCACGTGTGTCAGACACTGTTTTTAGCTCCAGGGACAAAGCACGAAACACACAAAATCGTGCCTTCAAGTAGCCTACGTGCTTGGGATTCCCAAAGCACCACTCGGGATATTCAGAATCACCTAAGATACCTCTAAAATGTCTGGTGAGAGAGCAAAGAATGACGGTGCTATCCAAGTCCTAAATCAATAAGAACTTCACCCGGAGACACTTGCATTCATTTTTATAAGGCTCACTAGAACCAGGGCAATTTTTTTCTTTATTTGAAATTCAATGAAAGGCAGAGAAGACATGCAGGCCCTGAATGGTATTAGAAAGGTTGATTAATGTCTCATAAATGTAAATGTCATGATTCATCTTCTACAACTACTACTCTACAACATCCAACTGTATTAGATGCCAGCAGATACCAGGGTCCACTTGGTCATTATTTATTTGTGTCATATTTAATTTTAAAGTCATTTTCTCCATTCCACACAGACACTCCATGTAGCTATAATTACAATTTTATTCTGGCCTTCCCTTGACCCCAAAACTTCCAAAGTCTTTGCAGAGTGGCTAAAAGTATAAAGGAAATTAAATTTAGCAAGCCATTTCCAAGACTCTCCAAAGTGTATTTATATAATCCAGCAATGTAGGATCATTCTTCAATATTAATCAGAAATCTTCTTTTGCACCCACAACTTTTATTTTTAATTTTAAGGATAGAATAAAAATCAACTGGGGATTATTGTCTTGAGATTTGGTATCACATTGGCCTAAAAATTCAGGTAAGCATCAATCCCAAAACAACTCTCGGGAAAACTACTTTGACCCCCTTCGTACCAAAAGGTCTTTTATTGGAATGAGAAAATTAGCAATTTTGAGTGTGACCTAATTTTGACCAAGATCCATGTTACAGAACATATTACCATCCTATTTCTTGTTTATTCCAGTTCCTTCCCACACGCCTCCTGAAGAACACTTCTAAAAGTGATCCCTCTAGGGACTTGGGGCCGCTGTAAATAACTCTGCCATCCAAAGGAATAATTCAGTAAAATAGAAATACAGACAAATTCTCTTCTCTGTCTCACATACCCCTGCTCGTTAGGATTCTTCTTTCCAGAAATTCACAGAAGCGCATATACACCATAACTATAAATGGAAGTGACTGACCTGGTTTTGGATTTTTCAGAAATAATGAGATTATATTATACACAAAAAATAGAAGACAGTAGGAAAGAAAGAGAGAAGCAGAGAGCTGTCAGGTATTACAAAGGAGCACAGAAGAGTGGCTGACACTGGAAGACTTGGGAGGAGAGAAGAAATGGACACTGAAAGGAAACATTGTTTAGGAAATATTATTGGAAAATTCCTATGGGTTATTAAAAACCTTCCTTTTTTTCCTAGAGCATTTAGTGTCACTGCCTTATACAAGTACTCAAAGAACTTACATTCTGGCACTTAGAAAAGAAAGAAAGAAACTCTTCATATACCTAATAACTTCTTTTCATTGAGTAAAAAAATAATTTTTGAAATGGTTTAAGGCTCATAAGAAATGGTATAAGTAGAACAGAGTTCCCATGGATCTTTAACCCAGCTTCCCCCAATAATAAATAATATGTTACATCACCTAAGCACATTGTCAAAACTAGACATTATGTTGTTCAATATTATTAATTCAGACACAGACCTTATTCAGATCTTCATTTAAACATTTTTCTTATTTTTTCTTTTCTTGTCTCTTGTTCTAGGAAGCTTTCCCTCATGGGTAGAGTCTAGCAACAAATCAGGATATAGAAGCGTTCCATCACTACAGAGAAACTCCTTGGTGCTACACCCCCAACACTAGCCTGTGGGACCACTGGGCTCTTCTCTTTTACTCCAACCTTGTCATTTGGGGACTGTCATCAGGGTGTGTAACTCTGAAATTGGCCTGATGCACTTGCCCCTAAGATCCATCCATTACATTGATTTTTAATGTTCCCATTAAGCAAACTTTAAAAGAAAACCAACACCACCTTAAGCATCAAAACTGATCTGATTATTTTCCTCGTGCAAGATACAAAGAAAAAAAAGCATTTGGAATTCTTAAAAAGAGAGAATGTGCAATGTGGAATAAACTAAAGAGCTGTTAATAGAGTTACTTCTTAGAGGAGATTAAAAGAAATAGCTTTGGCAAGTTGAAGCATTTTATTTTGGCTTTTCTAAAACTATGACGTCAGGATCTCTGGGACAACAGCATTTTGGTTTATTGCTCAAACTAGAGGTCCGATGCATGAAATTCATGCAAGAGTAGGCCTACCTTCCCCCGGCTGCCGGCACCAGCTTCCCTCTGGCACCCGGGACCCGGGTTTCCCTCCGGCTGCCAGCAGGCACCCAGACCCAGGCTTCCCTCGCAGCCCCGGCTTCATCTGGAAGGTTGTCTGGAAGGACGTCCAGTCTAATTAGCATATTTCGCTTTTATTATTATAGATAGTTGTTGCTGTCTGTGGAGAACAGACTAAAATTTTGGATATAAAATTTTCATTAAGAACTTGATCAAATGCCAATTCCTACACTATTTCTGTACCTGTGATTAGTAACACTATCTATGAAAAGCAGCAGATGTTCACAACCATTTCTACCATTAATAAAGTGGCACAAGAATACTTCTACTAAACAATGTTTATTACTTCCCTCAGAATTTTATTTTATTTTTTAAAAAATATAT